TTACTTTACTCAACTCAAGTATTATTAGAAAAAATTAAAAAATAATAGAACAAAATGAGAAAAAACATTTAATTAAAAAGAAAATTTATGTAAAAAACATTTGGCGCTGCCAACCCCTCCCCCGCCCCGCCCAAGCGCGGCCGCCACCGCCGCCAGACCACCCTTCCCTAATAATGGGGAGTAGGTGTATGTCGGCGGCCTGGCCAACCCATCCGACGGCGGGGGGGGGGCAAGGGGCCAGCAGTTCCCATGGCCCCCCACCGCCGCCGTCACAGCCTTCGGCCGGCCGGTTTGGCGGCGGCACCGCGGCGGGCACCTTGCCCCCTCGCGGCACCCCTACCACCGGCGTGGCCCCTCCCTTTGGGAGAGATTGCTCTTCCCTGCCTCTCTCTCTCCCTTTCAACCTCCTCCTTCTGCCGCATTACTGCTTCGCAGAAGGAGGAGACTGCCCTCCAGGAATCCTCGCTCCCGACCATCTTTCTCACGAGCGTCGGGAGCGAGAGATCCATCCCCACCACTGCGGTCAGGACCCCGCGCTCAGCGTCCCACGTGGGACACTCCTCCAGAGTGTGTTGCGCGGAGTCCAGACCGGCCGCACAGTGGTGGCATCCCGGCGTGCGTTCCTTCTTTATCCTATGCAGGTACTCACCGAAGCAACCATGCCCGGTTAGCACCTGCGTGAGGCGGTAGGTGAGACCCCCCCATCCTCGGTCTGCCCACTCTCTGAGGACGGGCCGAACGGCCTCCACAGTCCGAGTCCCCACGGCGACCTGCTCGTGGAGGCGCGCGTCCCACACCGTAAAAGCGTTGTCCCGCGCCTGCCTGCGAAACAGGTCGACGGCTCTTCTCGTTGGCTGCCAGCCCTCCAGGCGGACCACCCGGACCCGCCGATACACTTCGGCTTGGGCCTCGGCTAAAAGGTCCGCCGGCGGAGTGCCGGCCAGAACCGTCGCCGCCGCGTGGGACACCGTCCTGTACCCCCGGGCCAGGCGCAGGGCCATCCTCCGTTGGACTCTGTTCAGAAGCCCACGGATCCTGCCATTGGTCCGCGCCTCGCCCGCCCATAAGAGGGCTCCGTACATTAGTCCGGAGAGGACAGTGGCCGTGTACATCTTCCGTACACTGGCCCTCGGACCGCGTAGGTTCGGCAAGAGGCGGGCTAAAGCGTCCGCCTTCCTGCCAGCCTTGGGGGCCAGCAGCTCAAAATGTCTGCCGAACCCCCACTGGCCGTCCAGAGTGAGGCCCAGATACTTAATCGTGGGCCCCACCGGGACTCTCGTCTCACCTACCCTGACGCTGGCCAGCGGCGGCGCCCCCCGAGACCCGTCGTGAAAGAACATGGCCTCGGTTTTTTGGGGCGCCACTCTCAGGCCCATCGCCTCGATTGCTCGGAGAACGCACGCCAGGGCATGGTTGGCCCCGGCGACCGCTATCCCCCAGTCCGCCCCCCGGGCGAGCACCAGCGTGTCATCCGCGTAGCAGACGACACGCGCGCCGAGGGGGATGGCCGCCCGCAGAACCGCGTCGTATGCGAGGTTCCACAACCTGGGGCCCTGGACTGATCCCTGCGGAACCCCGCACGACATTGCCCTTCCGCGCTGGAGTCCGTCGCGGTCGACGAACTCCAGGCTCCTGTCCCGGAGATAGTCCTCCATGGTGGCAACCAGACACGGGGGCAGTTGGAAATGATCCATCGCCTCCCGTATCCGGCCCCAGGGGAGGGAGTTGAAGGCGTTGGTGATGTCCAACGCCACAGCCACCACTACCTCCCCCTCCGCCACCATGGACTCCGAGAGGCCCCTTACGTGCCTTATAGCATCGATGGTGGAGCGGGCCTCTCGGAAACCATATTGGTCCGGCAATAAGTCCGGACCACCATCCCGGGACAAGTGCCGGACGAGGCGGCTCGAGAGGATCCTCTCGAATGTCTTGCCCACCTCGTCCAACAAGCAAATCGGCCTGTACGCGGAAGGGCTTTCCGCGGGCTTGCCCTCCTTGTGCAGGAGGACAAGTTTAGCCTTCTTCCAGGACCGGGAAAATCTTCCCTCCTTGAGGCACCTCGTGTAGAGGTGCCTCAGGCGGTCGCCGAGGCCTTCCATGGCCAGGACCCAGGCCCTCCCTGGAACGCCATCCGGGCCCGGGGCTTTAGGTCTGCTCCTCAGCCTCCGGACAGCGCGCTCCAGCTCCAACCCAGACACTTCCAGCTCCTCAGACCACCCCTCCACCGTAGGGCGGTCGACTCTTGGGGGGATCTCCTGTCCCCGGTTTGGGAACAGGGCCCCCACCACTGTGTCGAGGAGCCGAGGATCCAACGTTTCGGTAACCGGGGGCGTCCATGGCCTCAACTTATTAAGGACCATTTTATACGGACGCCCCCATGGAGCCCTGTCCAGGTCGGCCAACAACTCGGCCCAGGCCCTGGCTTTCTCCTTGCGGATCGCCAAACGCAGGGCGCTCCGTGCGGCCCGGAGCACCCCGTAATGTCTGGCGATCTTCTCTTGGTTTCCACGTCGCCGAGCTCGCGTGTAGGCGCGTCTGGCTCGGACGGAGGAGCGCCGAAGTTCGACCGTTTCCTTCGTCCACCAGTACGCGGCCCGGCAACCGGAAGGGCGGACCCGAGGCATGGACGCGTCACACGCGTCCCGCATAATTTCCCGGATCCGCCCCACCTCCTCGTCAAGAGGGACCTCGGACAGGTCGCGGCCGTCGTCGGCCCAGCAGCACACCGTCACGGCCGCCCTCAATTTGTCCGGGTTCAGTTTATTGACCGCCCATCAATGCGCACGGGACGCAGAGCCGGCCCCCTCGGGTGTCAGCGGGGGACGGGTGACGACGATCTCCATCGCAATTATGCGATGGTCGGAGAGATCTTCCATCTCCGTCGCCATCCTCCAGCCCCTCACGTAGCGCGCGGCGAGCGGGTTGGCCCACGTCAGGTCGACGATGGACGACCCATTCCATCGCACGCACATGGGTTCCTCCCCCCGGTTCAGAAGACAGAGCTCCAGACCAGCGGCCCAATCCAGGGCGCCGCCCCGAGCATTGCCCCGGGGGGATCCCCAACGCGCCGAATGCGCGTTGAAGTCCCCCGCGACTATGACCGGCCTGGGGAGCCGTTCAGCGACGGCCTCCCCAAGCTCCTCCAGGGCCAGCTCGTACTGGGGTAGCGCCCAACTCGGGGGGAGGTAGCACCCAAACACATCGATGGGCCCTCACTCGACCGCCACGAATCCCGTGCCGGACGTTAACAGCCGGCAGGGAGAGCGGCCCTCGGCCGGGCGCCATATGATCGCCACGGAGCCACACCCGTTGGCAAACCAACAAGGGCTGCCCCCAGGTACGCTATACGGCTCCGAGGCGATCCCCAAACCCGCACCACTCTCCGCGAGGCCATAAACGAACATGTCCTGGGCCGCGCGGGAGTGGTTGAGGTTGGCATGAAGGAGGGGGATGGCGTGAGGCATAACTTCACTGATGTTCCCCCTCCACCATGGTTACCTCCATGTTTTCAACCGCCTGTTGAGGCGGTTCACCCATTCCGGCCATCTCCCCTCCAGCTGGAGAGGCGACCACCGTTGCCGTCGGCGTCCTTACCGGAGCCTGTCCTCTCCTACCTTTCGCTCTCCTGCTGGCCGGACAGGCTTTGCTGCCCACCCGATGCTCCGCAGGCTTGCCTTTAGTCCTACAGATCGGACAATCCGGCTTGTCCGCCGCGCAGTCTCTCGCTACGTGGCCAGGCCTGCCGCACTTATAGCAGCAGTCGCTCCTGTCGTCGCGACTGCCGCATGCGGCCCCCACGTGTCCGGCCAGATGACACCGAAAACACTGCAGGGGACGTGCCGGGAGGACTTCCACTCGGCACCTGGCCCAGCCCACCGTGACGCGGGACGTCTTGGCCGCGGCCTGCGCTACCCTCAAGGGGCAACGCAACCAGGCCGTGCCCAGTCCATTTGGGGCCAGCCTGATGGCCCCCACGCTCAGCTCCTCGGGCGCGCAGCCCCCCAAACTCGCCACCGCTTCCGCCACGTCCACCTTTGTAACGGAGTCGTCTAGGTCCCTGACCCGCTGTTCTGCCAGGGATGGAGACCCTCACCCCCTCTTTGCCCGCCAGCAGGGTTGTAAGCCTGGCGGCCAGGTCTTTCGCCTGCTCCTCCCTGTTGGGGCCCGGTATCTCCAGAACTAGGGCCCCGGTAAGGGCCCGTCTGTTCCGGAGACCCTCAATCCCCATGTCCCTCGGGTTAATCCCCTGTCGGGCATCCCTGAGGGTTTCCGCATACCGGTCCGGCGGGCATGAGATCATGACCGCCGCGGTCCTAAGGGGTCTAACCCCTCGGGGAGATCCTCCGACCTTCGGCGTTCGCGGGGGCGTCCCGCCACCGCCAGCGACTTCCCCCAGCCCAGCACCCGCCTTCTTTGCGGGTTTCTCGGGTCTCTCCCCTCTCTTCCGCTTGGCCCTCCGCCTCAACACTTTGGCCCAAGGGACCTCAGGCCGGCGGACGGATGACGGGCCGACGACCGGCCCCGGTTGTGTCCGGGGCCGGTCTGCCAGAGGGGGGGAGGCGGATTAACCGCCACCCCCCTTTCACCCTTGGCCGCTTTCTTTGCTCCAGCCAGGGGAGCCGCGGGCTTTTTCACCGCGGCCGGCGTCATGCCTTTGCCTGGGGGAGGGGGGCCTCCGCTTTTCCCTTCTTCTTCTTCCCCCTCCCTTCCTTGGCGGGCGCGCTTGGTGCGGGCTGGGGCCCCATCGCTTCCGCCGCTCTCACGGGCTGCGGGAGGTTGAATTCCAGCGCCCTAAGCGCCTCTGGTAGGGCCCCAACGAGAGCCCTCACCAGTGCGCTCTCGACCTCGCCGCCATCATCACCCTCCCACCGTTGGATAGACGGGGGATCGATGGGCTTGCGGCCGGGGGGTCTTCCAGGAGAGCTTCCTGGAGACCCCCTTGATCGGTGGCCTCACCGCTGGCTTCTCCGCCAGTTCCTCCGCAGTGATCCGCGGAGGGCCCGCGGATGGTCCAGGGGGGGGAGACGGGGACAGTAACGCCCTTGTTCTTACTCCCCCCTGCCCTTCGCCACCCTCTCCGGAGAGGCCTCACTGAGCACCCTTATGTGCTCCGAAGCAATGTCCAGCTCCTTTCTTAGGACGCTGGCCTCCGCCTCCAGATCTTCAATTCGGGCCCTCAGTCTGCAGATAGTTTCTACCTCTGAAGGGCCCTCCTCGTCTCCCTGCGCCCGGCTATTCAGTACCGCCACTGTGGCGGTCACCGTTGTAGCCGCGTTCCACAACGCCTTGACAGAACGGCCCTGAAGGTTGGACGAGTTCGCCGCAATTCTTTTCAGGTCTGCCACTCTTTCGGAGACTAGGGCCGCAATGTCCCCAGTCGAGTTGTCGTGGAACTGCTCCTCCAGCTCCCTCGCACGGCGATCCTCCAACCTCGCCCTGGGAGTGTCGACCCTGGTGTCCGGGTCGTGAATCCTCTCCTTCTCTCTAGCCAGCTTCCTGGCCTTCCTAGCGTCAGCGGCCTTCTGACGTTCCGCCCGGGTAAATTTACCCTCGTGAGAGGGATCCAGCGCTGGCCTGCCTGGCCCCCTACTCTTTTTAAGGGCGGCGGCTTCTGCGGGGGGGACAGTGGTGCAGTCCTCCTCCCCGCTATCGTCCCGTTCAACATCCATGGAGGTGTCGGCCTTACGCTTCCCTAGTTGGGAACTGCACGACATCGACGTTGACGCTGAGGACGCTACGGAGGAGACCGAACTAAACCTGGGTCTCAATCCGGCCTCCGCCCGGGACTTGAATGATGCCGGGCATGGTCTGGCAAATACGTTGGTAGGTAGGCCAGTACCTTGAACGGACTCCAGCATTCCGGAGCCACCAGCGGATGACGGCTGGCTTTCTCCTGCTGTCAGCTCTGAAGGAGCTGCCTTCTCAACGACGTTAGAATTTATGAAACTCATAACTCGTTTCAACCCCACCACCCGTCACGGCTGCGAAGGCCAGGGCATGCCCTTAAGACCCCGAGTTCCCCCAGGGAGCCAACATATGCCACAAGCCGAGGAATAATGCATCTCGGCGCTGGGCTCCAGCTCCCTACTTGCCGAAGCTTTCGGGGGTCCCACACCTCCGACAATGTGGGCACCGTGACAGGCGCCGCTACGCGGGGGGCCCCACGGACGGATGGGGTGGAGTCGCTACGACCCGGCCCCACCTTGCTCGCCGTGGCGACCAGCTGCCGTCCGTGTCCACAGGCCGCGGCTTTATGGTGACGCAGTCACCACGACCAAGGACCTACCGCGTCGGCCCTACTTAGCAAATACCGCCAAGTGGCTCTAACACGGGCGCCCCGAAGGGCTAACGAGCCAGTTATGGTCCGGATTTGGTCCGCGGCTGCTTATTCCCCCGAAGAGTTATTCGCAGCTAACCTTCTCTGAAGGCCATGCCCCTATCCGCCACCCGGGGACGCGCCTGGTTGCGGTTTACTCCGCTCTCCTCGCGGGTTGGGGCTGCAGGCTCAGTGCCATACACCCGCCCGGGGAACCAGGTTCCAACGGAAGTCTCCCACTTCTGTACTTGTCGACAGCCAATCAGTATGTCTGACAAACTTATTGTACGACAAATGAAAAGATACCCTTACAAGTTATCGACTCTAAAAAGTTACAGTTACAGTTACTCAAAAAGTAATTAAAAAATAACGAGTTTCTATTATCATAACAGAACAGCATCGATAATATTGATAGATAATATTGATTAAGACCAGAGACAAAGATTAGTTCACGTTTACATGGTATACAAGTTTATTTAAAAAATGGGAAAAGTTATTCAACAGTAGCTTATATTAACAAATAAGTTTAAATATATAAAGTAACTATTAAATTTGTTATCAAAAAGATGTAACTGAGTTAAGTTATAGGTGGAAAAAAGTAATGAAGTTAAGTTACCAAAAATTTTTGGTAACTGCAACTTAACTTCGTTATTTTTTTCCACCTATAACTTAACTCAGTAAACAAAATTTTTTTTTTTTTTTAAAACGTAACTCTAACTGTAATTTTGTTACAATTAATAACAAGCTACTTCCCAATCCTGATTTATCATAAAAACAAAAACAGAAATAAATTATTACATAAGAAATAATTCGAATGCTCGCATTGTAGACTGCTAGACTTTTTATAATACAATTTCTATTTTCTATCTCATTAAAAATGTTCGCTTAAATGGAAAACTGGTAAATATATCGATGAAGGGAGGCTGCTCCAATGACCTTGACCTTTATATATGTTCTCAAGGGCATGACCCCAAGTGACCTTCAAGTGGTTTTAGCCGTCGCTCGTTATTCGTTAAAAAGTTATTAACAAAATATATGTAGAAGTATATGAGAACGGAATAGGCATAAATATAACTATAATAATTAA